AAGGCCACAGTTGGTCGTGTGGAGTGTTTCAGTTGAAAACGAGAGAACACAGCCTGAAAGTCGGAGAAACATGAATTAGCTGACCAGTAATTGTCTAGCCGGAGACTTCCTGCAGTTAAGAATAGATAAAACAAACGTTTATTCTATTATTCTGTTATTTTTCTGTACCGTGTTCATCCATTCTGGCTAAAAAGTTGTCAGGCTAGCGTGTGCTATTTTGCAACTGTTAAACCGAACTTCTTGATACATGCAGCTTGACCCGATTGTTCAACATTCGTCGATAACTCACCGTATGTCCCAACAACAAATGTCAACAAACGTCCGTCAATTAGACCACACTTTCCTATGAGTGACTGTGCATTGTTGTCCCTTGTATCGAATCAAACAAAGCGTGAAGTAGACTGTGCAGTGTATCTGAATCCCCACAATGCAATATAAAAGAAGGATCAAGTAGCATAATAGAATAGTATTTTACCGGAATTCAAAGTTTAAATCTTCACGCAAGAAAAACTTAGAAGTTGTCAATCGGTACACTTTGATGTCTCTTTACCGAAAACCCACTGACATTAAAAAAAATCACCTCAATATTGAATGCAGTGAAGGAATACACCATCTGATCATGGTTCCCAGAAAATAATTTGGTATCACAGATTGTCCCCTAAAAAGGCATGCCGCAATCGGATTGGCATTCCTTCAAGTGCTTGTTCTCAGATGTTGCTATTTAATATCGCACACCATTCCATCCCACATTAGTAGTCAAGCAACTGTTGCCATCCGTACGAATTACATTAGAACCATAGCACTGATACTTCATGGGACGTACAAATTCGTATCAAACATATTAATCCGGATTAAAGATCGAAGTAGAAAGACGTATTTCTTCAGAATCGTTACAGCTGTCATTGGTTGATTTTGGTACAGAGGTACGAAAGTGGCTAACGCGCTGCGCTCCGCTGCATCACTGACTTTTTGTCTACCTCAAATCACTGCTTCATATAAATAAAAGTTTGAACGAATCGTGCGCTCCATTATTCTTGTGTCTTTATAGCTCTTTATGAAGGATGTGTGGGCAGACAGATACGTAACGCCTCTGTGGCTTAGTCGTCGCAACTGTCTACGCCATGATATTTGTCACTTTTCTGCCTAAAGTTTAGTTTTGGTTTGTGGCATTTTATGGTCATTCTACGAGGAGAGTAACACTAAGCCAACAGACTGCAGTTCGAATGAAGGTTCAAACGCCGCAAGTACTCCAGGGCTCATACGTACCTGTGTATTTAGCCAGACACCAAAATAGCATTCAGTTTAGCTCATCCATGGTTTGAATTCATAGCGTCCAATATTATTAGGCACAGTAATGTGAATGCTTGTTAGTCGGTCGTCGATGGTTTCCCAACAAATTTATCCGTATTGCGTTGTGTCAAGAATATTGCCGTGATAATTGGTTCAACGTCTTCTAACCTGTACGTACAAGTGAATTAATCACTGATAAAGTTTCACGGTACGAATGGATGTTCGTACAACTATAGTTTAAGGAATGACAAAAACAGTCTTTGCAACAGAGTAACGACAGCTCCAGTCAGAGGAAGTTGGAGGTGGGGTAGTTGTATCTTATGACAAGCATGACAGAGCTTCTCTAACCCACGGCCGAAAATGTGACCTCGAGCATTCGGGTCCCACCGGTTATTAACAACGTCACTTAGTGGATTCATGGCAATATCATACAACCATACAAGTGTTTTTGTATATGATAATCCTGATGCGCAACAATTCTTAACGATAAATGATGTTGAACACTGTTTACGGTGTGCACTACTTTGGAACAAAAATTCCTTACAACTGAGTACAGGTGATTGTCCTATTCGCACAAATGCTAGTAGTTCCCATCTGTTAAACTTAGTATAATTAGTTCATGACACTGAGATTATCTCGAAAATAATCCGACAGGATCGGCAAACACAGTAGCCGTGTCTAGGCGTCTCCATCAGATATTTTATTGTCACTGTAGTCGTTGAATAATGATTCTTACATAAATTTCGCGAAATGCATTCATCCGAATACCAATCTTATTTATACGTAAAATGGCTCAAGTGGTTAGAGCGCGAATTTACTGACCGGAATGTCCGTGGTTCGAACCCGAACTCGACTTCTTCTGCCTAGGCTTGGACAATCTGGCAGTCTCCCAGCCCTCGTGCTTCCTTCGGGTATCATGGCAGCTAAGCACCGGAAGGATGTTACAACTGAACGACTTTTTTCTATTTAAGACCCGACTGAATCCCTGCGATGCACAAAAACAGTAGTGGACTTGTGCGGTATTCGGGATAGCGCTTGATACTACTCAAAAAATGGAAGAGTTTTCAGCAGTCATCTTCATAAAAATCTGACGCTTTTTATAAGTTTGCATGCCACCCTTTGATTTTTGCATCGATTTCTGTAATAACCGTCTTCTTCCTCCTTTCATAGCTTAGTCGTCCATATGAAAGATCCACAACGAAATGTTCAACAAGCCAACGTACCCCACAGCCTGTCATCCCGATTGTACCACGTCCTGTACCAGATAGTGTGCTGAGAAATCCATCCACCGTGATCCTAAAAGAAGAGCTACTTGCTCCGTCTGTGTATCACCCAACATGCAAACCGACGATTCAACTGGGTAGAAGAAGCATTTCACCCGAAAATGTAGGTCATCCTTTGTGGTTTCAACGGTGCGGATCTAAAGGGCAGATGCTTCAACATTCGCGCGTATTCCCGGATTGTTGCGTTAAATTTAGTATATAACCGTAACCAGGAAATTTCAGTTCCCGCCCTAACTGGCGCTTGTAATTTTGGTCTCTACAGCAACCAAGCTTTATAAGTAACATAAATCACTGCCTTCGAATGGGATAGTCTGTCTTTTCAAATACGAATTTATTCCAATGAAGACATCTTTATCTTTTTACTCAAAACTTCCTAGGAATCCAGAACAATGTTACCTTTTCGTTCATGAGCTGGAATTTGAAGTAACAGGTTTTGAGAAGCTCGAATCCTTTAAAATAAGTTTAGTTTTAGTCAAGAATGCACTCGAAGATACCATGTGTGGATTTCTGTAAGATGATTACCACCAAATCACTTCAATCCACAAACATTGCGGTTAACATCATGTAGCTACCCCGCCTATTCATCTTTTCTTACTGGATATATCTAGTAGAATTAATGTGAATTACTCAGTTCATTCAGAGCAGTAGCCCGACTGTGTAAGCCCCTTGCAAGTGATAGCTATATCTATCTTCTTTTGAAGGAATTCGAAGACCCAGGGAAACGGATAACCTCGAAATCGTTAAGCTCACTCCGGCGGGCTGACAACCCAGTACTTTATCGAACGAATCAAGTGTATCCAACCAGAGCAGAAAGAACACATTCCCATGGGTTTCTCTCAACAGCCCCACCTCCGTTTCCTCTGTACAGGAAACCAGATGAACAAAAAGTCTCCGTACTGGATGAGGTCCGTCAGTTGCAATCAACACCACGCCATACCTATCAGAAACCAGATGAAGTTGAAAATCGTCAACCGGATGGTAACCAAACAAATCGACCAACTCAACTCAGTAGAGCGTCTTCCGCTTACGTAAGCATCAGAGCTAGGTAGAAAAGACTTTAGACCACTTATGGGAATTCACTGTACTACTTCAGATGTGTCGTTTATCCTGAGATAGGACAAGATTTCATTAACAAACCGTTAGCAACCAAACACGCCATTGGACAAAGAACATTTTAATCTTTTCACTACATCAAATTCTTCCAAGTGTCTCTTTCGCCAATTACAATTTCTTTACTTAAATTCACTTTTAAGAAAGCATATGCGCCCATCAAAATTTTCGGTTCAAATTTCCTCAACTCTGTGATTGAACTCGAAAAAAAAACACCAGTCAATTCAACCAGTTTAGTTCGGTGAAATCAGACGGAACTACCTAAACCAACGAGTATTTCCAGTAAAAGAAATATATGTGAGAACGCGTTAAGTTATCATAACGCAACAAAATGTAACTTGTTAGTTTGGAAAATTTAATGGCAGTAACAACAATAACTTCAATGTCTTCAATGTAAAAGAGCGCTCAAAGACATTCTATGGAGACTTTTGTGTTCCTCTGCCGGCATCCATACTTCTGGGTTAACACACCGGTCACGGTGACGCACTGAGCAACAACCGACAACAACTGAAAACAACAAAAACGTTTTTTATTGCATTTCCAAAGACGTCCTTCTAATATCACTCACAATCATCATTTATCCTTCCGTATTTCAGACTTATCACGTGCTTCTGTTATTTCACCTTTTTTTGGACGACAATCTCAGCAACTCACTGAAACATTTTTTTAGGATTTATCAATTGGTGCCTCTGTACCAGAACTGATTCCTTCAAGAAAGGCCCTAGAAGAGTATATTCTAAGCTTGGAGCGCAGTTTGCAGGCACGCGGGCGGTTTTTGATTGACCATGAAGAATGGCTGAACTTGTGCCGCTCACTGGATGAAACCAAACATTGGTTTAAAAATGATGAAAAACGAAAAACTCCTGACGACTACGAGCAACGACTTTCAGCGTTGAAGTCATTGGGAGATGTAATGGAGCGCCGAATGGGGGTGGCAAACGAAGCTATCAAAATATATGAAGAAACACTTCAGGTATGCTGTTTGTTTGATATGACCAATCTGCCGTCAGATTGTAACAGATGACCGGCTACCTCTGAAACACCAGTGGTTTTTAGCGTTAAGCGGACAAATTTCTCAACCAAGAAGTTGTGGTTTTTTTACAGAAAAACTTCAAACTAGACGCTATATTGATTTCTGGTTTCGCATTTTAAATCGTCTACGTGAAAAGTTGGCGAAATTAGGTTAGAATCGTTTAAATAAATTAGCCGCCTTTTAAAAAAGGACCGAAATGAACTCACATCCATGTTACCAGGACTACTCTTCACATGAGTTTAGTAGATTGTTTCATTGCAAGTGAATACTGTTCTTTTGCATCGAAAAAAATTATGCACTTGTCTCTTCTGATAAAACCGCATATAGATGTTAGATCTATTCGAAAAGTACCTTATTCAGAAGGCGATACCTCGGTTATTATTGCTAAAATGTATCATTATTTTCGGTGGCGCATTCATAAGCGAAGAAAAGTTTTGTAAACCTGTCTAGTGGAAGACTCACCATCGCGCAAGTTTTTCCTGCGCCTGCTATCAACCGTCATTTCTTAGTTGTTTGGTTATTCTTCACCCTGCTCGTAAATTTTAGCGTTTGTCTCCATAACCATAAACCCTACTCAAGTCAGTTCGCAGTAGTTGTGTGTGATTTTACACAGACATTCTCCATTACTTCGAAAAATTGAAAAGATTTCAGGTACATCCCTTTGTATATTTCAAATGTATTTGCCTGAATGGCATTCGAGCACGTCGGACTGAAATGGAATCTCAGGGCAACTGGTCTAGCCCTACAGGAAACCCTAATGTTTTTCTAGCGAAATCCCATGGAGGGTTGTTTGCTCCGTCAATGGATATTCCATATGGCGGGCAACTACTACTGGCCTTGTAGGGACACAGTCGTCGAGCCTTTTAGACATCCGTTGGAGTCGCTGTTGAAGCTCACATTTTGGGTATCGTCGGAACTGCTTATCTCTTCCTTACTAGCTTATCACTGACCTTAAAGCTGAGTTCAGTGTTTCCTTATTTCCTATTGGTGTTGGCTGACATCTTGTAGACTATCGCTGTGATTCATAATTACCATAGCCTCACTTTAGTCTGCACTTGCAATCACGATATTATCAAGCTGTTTTAGTGTAAATGGCACAATAGTCAGATCGCCTGGTTTTCGGGGTGTTAAGACTATTACCAAATGCACTAACAGCTCTCTATTCTATTGAAGGAGGCACTTGAAACACCCAGTAGAAAGCAAGGGGTTGGCGACTGCAATAAAGTTTAGGTAGGACAAACGTCCACGACACTGTACAGTGGAATGACTAGAATAAGGAACAAATAGCCCAAAAAAGTATGACATGCGAATGAATACCAGGAGCGCTCGTAGGCGATATGGCAATGGTGAAAAACCAGCTGGACATAGTAAAATAGCTGTGGGAATTGAAGACATCTTACCACAAGGGCTGCGAGTCACACGTCGCCGACTGATGGTCAACGGCGTAAAAGCACCAAATATCCCAGTGTGAATAGATTAGTAAGCACGGTGTCGGTAAGCGTAAGATATCCGTTTTAGCTAGACCGATGCAACACGTGGGATCAATACCAGTAGTGGTAGAAAGTCCAACATACCAGGTTTTGTGTAAACCTCTATCCTAAAGAGAATACCGTATTACTAGATAACTCAAACAAAATGGCAAACATTGCAACCGATACTCAAGAGGAATCTTCAACTAAAATAAATCAGCCCGTCAGTCCCAAGACCTGCTGAACCAGACCAACAAACAGATCCTCANCAGATCCTCAGATGACAATGTTACTTTTTCAGCTTGCACATAGGGAGACATTTTGCTGACTAGCTCTGCTTCCGCATTAAGAGTCGTCCCGTTTTTTAACCCATGTACTTGGGGTGACAAAGCGTTTGTACTAAATGCGAAGCGTTTTCCAGCAGCAAATCCAACGATACTTTTTCATATCTCTTTGAAACAGTTACTTCTTTGTCGGTTGGGTTGGTCGGACCAACCGACTCATCTGTAAACTTTCCGCCCGCTAAAAGTGGCTTTCTCATGGGATTTTGTTGGCTCCTCCACCTCTATTGCTTTTTCGATGAGTTTCCTACCAATGTCAGCTAATTCTTAATACTTCAAACTTTTTGTCCAACTCAGTGAACTCCCAACATGACCCTTAGAACGTCAATGCTCTAGAACGAAGTCATTCGAACAGCACATGTGAAACAAAGTAGAATAACACAATCTATGGGACGAATCGATCCATGGACACGTAAAATGATCAGTCAATGAAACCATGCCGGATTTATTGTCTGGTTTCTGTTAGGGTATATTCGCGGTTCAAAATGATTAAGCAACACTGGCTTAGGGAGATTCAGTCTGTATGGGCAGCAGCTTCGCGCTTTGAAATCTGTGCTCTATATCTACTGGACAGTTGTTTGATTTTCATTCGACACCTGGTAAACAGTCGTTTGATTTCCATTCGTTAAAAATTAAAAAAGAGTTAGTCAACAGTGTGGGGATTAGTTTGCATAAATATGCGCTGATAGGACTCATAAATGAATGATCCTTGCACAGCTTAATTTTCTGGAGTTTCTGTGGCTACACAATAAGAGGTGAGTGTCATTTACGTTGTCTTTGCTACACAAACGTCAGACTATGGTAGGGGCTGAAAGACGCAATCCGACTGTTTAACAAGCTTTCTGTTTACTACCATCCGATTTTTTAACCATATACAACAAAATCCACAGAGTTTCGAGATGCTCGAATGCAGTCCCCAGTAACGTGATCCTGACGAGTCATGCGCCTAGGATATTGCAGCTAGACGTTCATACGTATAGTTACTATGCTGGGGAATATGAACTGACACTATAGAAGCTCGCTATGATCGTAGAGCTCACCTACAAATCGTTTTGTGCTTCACTGCAAGCTTACTGGTCACGTGCTTGTGCTTTTCAGATACGTCACATGACCGAGAACCCAGCTAGTACATCAGATAAGGTTCTTGTGGATTGTCAATCAAAACATTTATGCCGTGATGAGTTATTTGTGCTGATAAATCATCCACTTGATAGCACTCCTTAAGAATTCAAATTATTCGATGCGCTGTAAACTTGATTCAAGTAAAACTTGTAGCACATGCTGGTGGTATCACGAAACGGTTAGCTTATCTTCATCATGGAGAGTGATAATAAAATTATTAGCTGATGAAAAACCTGGCACCGTTGTGTACCACAACCAATAGTGGTTCTAAAGAAATCTAATATCAACTTAACTCGGTCATAAGCAGTCATGTTGGGATAATGAAACATTTGTTGAACACATACTTAATAAACACAGGAACGATGTTATTCCGAGAACGCGGTAAATTGTTCACTGGTGAAAAATGGAAATGCTCAAGTACGGATTAGGTTAAATGGCATTCCTTCGCAAAGACCAGGGAATATCCCTGTCAAAAAGCAACGTGTCGGTACATTCGGTGTTGAACATGGAAACGTAAAGGCTTTTGGGGGATTTGATGATTTCCTTTCCTTCCCTCGGGCCCCTAAACAGCTCAAATGAAAATATGAAAAAGACATGCTGCTCGTCTACTCATCTATGAGTAAGTAATTAGATAACCGACAGAAGTGGGTCATCAATCCGGATAAGAGCCCACATGGGACCACTATAAAGATGGCTTCAGTCTGATCGCTGCAGTAAGCAATTCTTCAAGGATATTGGGATGAAAACATCACAAGGAAGCGACAAATAGGCTCAAGCATACGTAAACGCACGTTCATTCTCGAAACATTTTCTGAAAGTTAATAATAAGTCAGGTGGTTAAACATTGCTTGATTGCAACATAAGGAAAGCACGCGCACTCGTCTCTTATTGTATATATTGTATGAATCATAGAGTCTACTTAAATAGAATGGAAATGTTGGTCGCTTGTTTATTGATGTTGCCATCGCTGCCGCTGCTTTCGCTAAGATTAGGGATCGTGAAGGTTGTGCTGTTTGCAATTTTGAAAAGGAGTGTTTCTGAAGCTACATGATGAACTCGAGAAATACACTCATTTGCAAATCAATCTGGTTTTCACGAGAGACTCTACTGAATCTCTCGTTTATGTTGCCAATTATTCTACTATTTCATTACTTGTCAAATGCAGCTTTTACACAGTAAACAACAAAACTGTGGGAGGAGGACAGAATACCCGATTTCTTTTTCATAACTTGCTTGCTGAAAACTCTTCGACAGCCCACGACCGATTTCGCCCTTCTTGGAGCTCATCAGATAGGCGCAGTCCCCGAGTTCCGTCAACCCCTATGTTCTACTTGAAACCAAATTGGACTGTTTCCGAGAAATAAACTCACGAGAGACTCAAGTGAATCTCTTGAAGACAGTCCAATTTGGGTTCAAGTAGAACATAAGGTTGACAGAAACTCAGGGACTGCGCCTATCTGATGAGCTCCAAGAAGGGCGAAACCGGTCGTGGGCGGTCGAAACACATAATGAACTGTTCTGCATGGTCATTGTTGAAAGCTCCAATTGGCTGGCAGCTGCTTTCGTACTAGAAGTGAATAAAGAATGCATTAATGAACAATGTATCGAATTATTTGGTAGCTTAGATGCGTTTACCGGCGGTTGACAAGATGGTCGTTAACCTATTCTCCGAACTTGGCGACTAGCTTGCAAACGCCTCCTCCTCAGTCGAGGAGACATCGTCAGCGCGCATTTGAGACGGCACTCCCCCAACCCACCTAATTGCGGTTATATAGTTTTCGAGAAGTTTTTGATATCTCCTCATTCGATCGGCTAACTGGTATATACCCTTCACTTAGACTTACTAACCCGTTGGCAATTAGCTTTGCACTGTGGTCTGTGATTCTCGTATGCTACAGATTTGTTTGATAGCTTCGCTTGGAAGGTTGGAATTTTACTTCCCAATCATCGATTCCTGGATTTTGTTGAAATGTGAACTTTCTTTCTTGAATTTGTTTGGCGAATTTCTATTTCTTATGAAAGAAAGAACACATCAAACTGAATAAATGGAACTTCTAAAAGAGGAAGTCGCCATAATCATCAACCGGCCTCAAGAGCAAAAGTCCACAACACAAATCAGGAATAGGCCACTTGGAATGCGAACATTAAATAACTAGATAAATAAACAATAATTAAGTAAATAGAATAAATAAACAAACCAAATAGACTATTTGACAAACCAACAAAATACCGGATGTGCATATCACAGTGCACTACAAATTGCACAGGGTCACTTGAGAAGATATCAGGCACCATTGGTAATACGGCTGCGCATCAACCTACTGTGCAGCGGAACAATCATGTGAAACAGAGCCGTGCAATTATGCCCCCACGTCCGAATCACGTCCGATTTCATCATGTGCCGGAGAAAGGTCAAATAGGGACACAGAAAGTTCACACCCACTCCATGGCCAAGGAACCCCGTACACAAGCTCCCAGACGGCCATCTACGATCAACCGAGAACCAGTGTGGATGTGTGGGAGACACACTGGTTGGTTGACAGCGGATCGACCGTCAAATACGGTGACAAGTGAATCATATATATAGAAGTTTGTAATTGCGTTAATACACAGTTCCTTCAGGTCGTCTTCTTGTCTTGTGACTATAACCCAGTAGCGTCAGGGCAGGTGAAGAGATACAACAATTGGAAGACCAATATAAACAGGTACGGATTAGGTACACACTTGTCTGTGCACTAATGGTGTCTCTGATACTGCGGACGAGGCGTCTACGAGCAAGTTTCCGCGTTCGGCGAACAGACCGACGGTCGTCTGATCAAAGACCCAAATTAATGAAATTTGTGCTAAGTGGGAAACAAGCTGAATATTTACAAACCAGCCGAAAAATTCTACCACCAAAACAGTTTACTGCTACTCAAAATCTATGGACTTGATTTTGGTATATGCGTGTGCTGAGTTTAGGCTTTACGCAAAACAGCGATTTTAGACGAGCACCTTGAAACTTTCCACCTGTTAAACTGTCCATATTTTCCTACGGCGGATCAGTGGGACCCATCTTCAATCCCATTTTGCAACTGGAACTTTGGCCTGCCGTTTGACTTTGGGTCATCGAGGGTGCCAGTGTCATAAAACGTGAGTGTCCTGCGGCCTAAGGCCGAACAAATGGCATCTGTCGGTTGGCGTCGTTGAACAATTTGAAATTGTTAACCAGTCCAATACTTGAATACGATATACAATATACAATACAATATACAATATAAACGTGTAGCGTTCCTGTGTATTGACGCTGAAAAGACAATTGTCAAACCCACAATCCGGGTAGGATTACTAACAGATAGCGATTTTGGTGTTTTATGCATGGAACTACATACGCTCACATCTACCTGCAGACATGGATCTCGTTCTCGCCACTTGTAGGGTAATCCACAAGTAACACATTGAGTCTTCATGTGCCGTACTACTGACACACACACGCACACTTACTGGGGATGGTCCCCACTTCTTTATATTTTATAGGAATAGATGCCCAATAATAACAATAAGTTTTGGATGTGAGTGAGAAGTATTCCAAACAGAACGTAGCCTTTTTCCCATAACACACGGTACGCTGTCAGTAGGCCAATAGAGCCAATCACTGGTAGCATAAGTAAACTGAAATTAATAATATGCATGCTGTTACACCCGAGACATCTTTCCGAAAATATCCGTTTCAGGCTCTTTTCCATGGACCACCGTACAGTTGACACTACAAGAAAGTGATCCGCTTGGGGAGGTTGTAGTTTGTTTTCAAGAGAAATAACATTCTAAGTTTGGGAAGGTAAGTTTCAAGGACTAAGAGAGAGAGAAAACAAAGTCCGGAAAATAGGTTCTGATCACATTCTGCCTCTGTTCGCCTGCTCCGATGATTCTTGTAATTAACGTTTCTGTTCACCCGTAATAAAAAAGCTGTTTGTCTTGACACTCAAATTTCCATTGTTTCTTGTCTCTGTCTTTTCTATACCAACTGCGTCCACAAAAGCACATTCGAGATATAATCGATAGCGAAATGTTTCGAGGAAAACCGCTGAGTTCTGTACAACTGGAAAAACTTCAGCAACTTGTGTCCGATCACGAAGAATGGTTTTTTAGCGTCCTTGACCCATCCGAGTCTGTTATGGGAACCGGCAGCAACGGGGACACTTTGGATTACTTTAATGCTAAGCACCGGGTAAGTCTGCATCTGCATAAATACAAATCCTTCTCCCAGTCTTGTGCACATATTTCACGCTCCCTTTACAGTAGCATGGGTTATGTTTTATTTGACTGGAATCTCATATTTCATATACTCAATACACTATCTTCCTCTGTACCATACCTTTGCTATCCTTTGGACGACTAGGTGTAATTTGTTTACAGACAAACACAACGAGATAGTGTTGAGGCACGAAATGGCTGACTGGAAAGCCCGTGGCCCGAACCCAACCTAAACAGCTGGACTGCTCGTGACTAGGCTTCAGCAGTCTGGCAGTGTCTCATCCCTCGGGTGGTATGGAAGCTAAGCACCGAATGCTTGTTGCGACTGAACGATAACCATTCAAATTGCCGCGATGGGAATCCTTTTGGACGTATACAAACATCTTATTCGATCCGAACAAACCTGAATGCGAACCGCAACGTAAGACCTTCCATAATGCAGATGAAATGCATTGTGTTCATAAAAACAACATCTATAATAATGAAGGCGACAAATATCGTGCTATACTGAGTTAGTGGTTTTCTGATTACTTAACTTCGCTGTGATTAGCTAGTACACGTCACCTTTGCTACAGCACATTTCCTCACATTTCGCGGAATTAGCGGTGGTAAGCATAGCGCTGCGACTATGACCCGGTCGGTGCTAGCCAGATCCCAAGGAAAAGGATAACTAAAATGGAGGCTGGTCCACTACCTACCGGCTAATTTACCCATCACGAATCCTCTCAGGGTTTTTCATCAACAGCATGACTTCAGTATTCACCACTGATGCTTCACCGCCGTACAACCATGATAAGTGCCATGGTTGTACGTGGGCTGGGATACTGTCAGGGTGCCCATACCTAGACAAGAAGATGATTGAAGTCCTCAGCCAAAGCCATTGACTCAAAAGCCTAACAACAAGGCAGCCGGTGTTTAGCAGGAAATGCAAATGCATTAGCATTTCTATAGAACAAGTCGCCACATGTTCGACCCACAACCTGGGGAGCCAGGAAACTCTTTGTCAGACCTCAAGCCATTGACCAACCTGGTGTGGGAGACCCTGTTAGTGTCACGGGGACACTCCCCAGAATAGCTCAATGGATCACTGAGGTGCGCAAACCGTCACACCACGGTAAGGTCCAGTCTCTTCGTGACGAAGTTAATATCAATGCATTTTTAAAGGAGCATATTTTTCCAATTTCATACAGTCTGGCGTTAGAGAGCAATACAAGGTTGATGGAAACTCAACTATTCCGAATTAGAACGAAGTTGATCTAATTTTTTGAGCCACTTTTTGAATAGTGCATTGTCCCCGGCAAAGGTAATACGACATCACGAATGTTGTCCCAACTGAAACATGGGGTGGCCTCAGCGCACACAATTTAGTTGGAGAATATCAGACAGACCTGAGTTTCTAGCTGATACAGGTGAGTACACTCAGCCAGCTTTTTCTGATATATTTGCAAGCTTGTAGCTGTGCGGCTTTCGGAACATGACGGATGCAGTTAGCAACCCGAGACTATCTGATTCTTCCCGATTTGTACCAATGTTGATTAGACCTCACGTGGCGTCCGACAGTTCAGTACGCATCTGAACAGCAGCGGCTGACGAGGACTATGGTGTTTACTCCCGCTAGAATCGCTAAACTGAGTAAATGTGCACTCACGTTCACCTTATCGAAATTGTTTGGGTTCCACATACACTAGACTAATAGCTATGTCTATCAAAATGGCGATTTCTCGGGTGCATTATAATGTTCAAGGTAGGTAGGTGGTAACCAAGCAGAAGATATGGGAAGAACCGTGCTACAGTGAGTGGCGCATAACACACTGCAGCCGGTTATTGTGGACCCACTGGTCGCTTTGATGACAAGACGATATTTTTCTCTTTGCATACTGCGGGCCATCAACCCACGGGTTATCCTGCGTTGATTGACAAACGCTTTCGCACTTTATCACCGAGCTATATCTTATAAATGCACCATCGTTTACAACCAGCCGGCGGACAGTTAGGGTTTTATTTAGGAACTCTTACTCTCCCCAGCTATGCTGGAAGGTAACTTATGTGAACAATTCTTGTCAGTCCTCAACTAAAGCTGCTGATAAAGTCAATATAAACGGCAAATCTAGTATTAATCCCGTGAAATAATTGCCGCATGTAATGTCCCGCTGAAGCCCATCCTGTTTCCGAAGAAATATTCTCAACTGGGTTGACGAATAGTAAGTGTCGAGGGAGTGACATTAGAGCAACCCATATATTGGTGCACTCGTTTGCGCGTAGATGTCGAAAGATAAGAATGACGCTATAACGAACGATGGCATAAGGAAGGTGAATTGGGAGGTTTACCAACGATCGGACATGTGCGCTCGTCCCTGATTTGATTAGTGTCTTGGCCAATTCAATACTGCTCAAAAAGAGCCCGCTAGTCTTGTGAATTGGTGTACAGCTGGCGGAAGGTTTAGAAGCTGACCAGATAACACTTCCACACTGATGCATCCTGTTTGTGTCAAATTTGTCACCGTGAAACATGGCGAGTACTCCTCCGTCACTCAGAGTGAGGTTGTTTTTTTCTAGAAAGATTTCACTGAAAAAGCCGAATATAACGACAAGTCTCTGCTTGATAGATTCTTTTGATGTCAGCAGACTTAATAAAAGCTCCCTTTTGCACGCTGTTTCTAACTTGATAGCAAATTATTGTCACTTGCAACATAACTTTCAATTGTCACCTAAGTCTTGTTTTCATCTTTTCAATGTCTTTTATGTTGTTGCTGGTACCGTTTACCATATATCGTGATATATGATTATATTCAAATATATGCACTCATGTTTGTCAATACTACTGAGTTCTTCAAAAATTACTCAATTCACGAGCCGTGTGGACAAATAATGATTAATTTAGAGGGATATAAACTGATCAAGCTACGAATGGATGCTCTTGAAATAGGCTTGCCGCTTTTCGTAAAACGGTTTCCGGGGAATTTCGTTCCACACAATGTGGAATGTACAATGGTAGTTTAAACTCCTTCGGAGCATACAAACAATAGCTTTGGAGTTAGCGAATATACACTCATCTGCAAACTAATTTCGTTCTTTCGAGAGACTCACCTGGAACCCAGCTGAATCTCTCGTCTATGATGTTCTCAGGCAACTGAATGTGCTGCACCAGGCCGCCTCATGTTTCAGTCGCTACGATATTTGAAATATCGCGATACATGTATATTTGTAATGTACTACTCATAAGGTTGCTGAAAATCCATCGAGTGTATATTCGCTAATTTCGTGCAATTTGGTTTCAAGTAGAACATAAGGTTGACGAAACCCGGGGACTGCGCCTACCTGATGAGCCCCAAGAAGGGCGAAACCGATCGTGGGCTGTCGATGGATTTCCAGCAACCTTATGAGTAGTACATTACAAATAGCTATGGAGGATTTGGAGAGTTACACTTGTCCCCTGAATGTCGCACATCCCTCGATTCACGCCAAGCTGCTTGAGACAACACAAATGGACTTCACTGTGTCAAAAAATATGTCGGATCTGGCATAACCAAAACGTAAATTCTCAGGCTTCTCCCAAATACGTTGTGGCTTATGATCGAAGTGCCAACTTCGTCTTTTCTGTGACTTTCTATGCATTCATAAAGCGATTAGTCCTTTCTCACTAAGATATACCCAAGTTATTCTGATTCGTATTTGGCTTTTTTGGGGGTAAGAAGTGCTAATGAAAACAAATCGAAACGTGTGTTTGGTCAACGTACAATACAGGCTTCTTCTTCCAGCGAGGTTGTTTGCTGAGCCTATGGTTTATGCGGTAAACAACATGCGAATATGTAAACGATTTCGTCAACATTAAAATCCTTCGATGGATTTGATGTCGATTTTCAGATTTTATTACCGATGGAAAGAAAACCCTCTTACAAAGTAAATTTCACTTCACTTTTCTCAGGGTTTGGTGGAGGCCTACGAAGAGATTTTGCGATCACCAATTAGAAATGAGCACTCACCTCTCCCGCACGTAAGTGTATCACTTTTTGACCAAAATAGCACCTATTACTTATCTGGATATCTATGGATAACCTCCTAGCATTCTTGTCTTGGAATGTGAATAAACAGTCATCCCAATTAGCGAAATCGTATGGATGTCTTTTGCGCTATCCAAACTTTAGCGTTACTCTCTCCGCTTCACCAATTTTTCAGAACTTCATCTTTATTGAAATACCTCCAATAGATGTACCCCTATGCTCTGACCAATCACGTTTGCTTAATCCCTCTGAACTTTCATCAGGCCCTCGTGGTTTGAAGGAAAGGACCAACTATTCGAAGTTACTTTTTTATTCCGAACTTTTAATTGGCATCCTAAAACGTTAATATCCACACCCACTTTGGATCATTCTTATGAGAATTCCGTGCTTGCCTGATCATCAGAAGTTAGTTTAAAAAAACCCTCAAGCTAGAATTTATCACTAGCTGAAATGTATTCCCTATATTGGTATCTTGAATGACGATAATACCAGCTCCTAAGGTCCAGTAATCTCTTTGCCTGCAAAGCTAACTAAAGTTGTCTATCCATCGCCAGAGGTCAGATAACGTTTTGACCACTTATGTGCAAAAGTGTCAATGCATCATGATCTATTTTTCTTTGATGGTCCTCTAGAGTGCGTTTATTTTGAAGTAAATAAGGATTTTTACGTCACTCTCATTTGCAAAAATGTCGTGCGCAACAAATTCCTAATCTTTAAGGTCTATCCGATACTAGGGCAATTACTTGTCCGTGATGCATCCATTACGGTGTAGAGATTGAAACCACGAAAAATGGTTGGCTTCTAATTGCTAACTGTGATAGTCTACTCTTATCGGTTTACGTACTTTCAGATCCACCGCAGTTAGCATGTTAGAATTCGTGTTACCGCGATCCGCCATTTGAAGTGTCAGCAGACTAACGTGAACTGCGGGATTTTCCGTCCATGCAGCTGTGGTGTCACTGAGGTAATCATCTGAATGCTGAGTGAACAGAAACAGGGCTAGGTTTACTCTCACGGAAGACCTAACAAAAACTATCTCTCGGTTCCGGTTTGTCTACAATAGCCATGGGATCTGATTTCAGAAGAGTCGGTCAAACGAGGGTTTTGTCCACGTTAGCACCCCTCAGAGAGTAACAACTTGAAATTTCTAACCCGCGTTTCACGTAACGATCCCTCTTTTTACCGCTCGATGACTCCAAACAAGAGCCGAATCCGTCATGTGGCTGAGTTTTCTTATAATTATTCTGTACGATTTCATATTAACCCCCATCAATAGGAAATATAGATAGATCTCCTCGTGTGAGTATGGTAACACTTCCCTTGAGCGTCCTCTACGACGGTCAGATGATTCCAATTAAATTCATATTAGGGTACCTTTGGATGTATAGTGGCTCCGGAGACAATAACTTTTTGTTTGCATCAACGATTTTATTGTCTTTATCCTTAGTTCAAAAATTAATTAAACTTTAAGGAACAATTAACTTTGGAATTAAATGCCAACCAAGCAGAAAGCCCATCTATAACCCCTACCTTTCGTCGCATACAGGCATATGCAGAAAATTTCTCTATCTTGAATTGTTTCTACACTTAAATTTGGCCACCGCAATAGGACTTTTCCGTCAGCGTAAGGATTGAAAATAATATGGATGATGGTCGTTGGCTTGTTCGCTGAGCTGGGCAATTTGGTTGCAAACGCTTCATCACCAATCGAGGTGACATCATCAGTGCGTAGTTGTGCGTAGCAGTGGGTGGGTTAGTGGCACAACCACTAGTGTCTAGTGCATGCCTCGCCATTGCCGAATCTTTGACTATCGTCTGATATTCGTGTAGGTTTCTCGGTGGTCTGTTAATCGAACGCTTATGCTCACCGATTCTGGTGTGCGATTCCCTGGCTCTCTGACTTATAAAAACCTTCGTAAAGTCGTTACATTTTATTTTGCATACACAGTTCCCAGTCCTGTCAACCGGAAGGCGACCCTTCAAATGCACCAACACCGAGCGTACAGTCTTACACTTCTAGAATTCTACTCTAATGTATTCAGTACCCTTCTAATGATTTCAGATGTCCCTGTTTTGTATGGAATGACCGCTGTTCCGATCCACTTCTTGTTGGGCTTTGGTGTTGGTACCATCCGATCCCTTCTTGTTGGACCTTGGTTTTGGCACCAATAACCGTCTTGGCTGCCGCTTAATTAATCCCACTGGGTATCCGCTATTTTGAAGTCTTTTTTTACTTAAAGTTGTGCTGCTCTTTGGTTGACCTCCTCTGTACTCAGTGCTCTCACTCTCCTAAACACCGATGAAACTATATTATCATATGATACTTTTGGATGTGCTGAGAATTGGTTTCAGACCGCACCGCTATTTGTTGATTTCCGGTAAACAGTAGTTTTTAATTTCCCACGACTCTTGTGTGTCATACAATCAAGGAAAGGTGGTATACCCGAAGTGGACTCTAGCTCCATGCCAAACTTAATATGAGGGTCCAGAGCGTTTAGATATTGAAAGAATTCTTTCACCTTATCCAGCTTTATCACAACGAAAGTGTCAGCCACGTAACACCAGAACACCCTCAGTGGATGCTCGAATCTGCTTAAAGCTTTCTGCTCAGTCTTCTATGTGCATGTTGGCCAAAATCGGGAATATTGGTGATCTCATCGCCAAACCTTGTCCTCGAGAGTGTATAATTGATTCAAAACCAAAATAATTGAGGTTAAGGCATGCCCTTATGACTTCAACTAACTCGTCGACGGATAGTTGAGTTCGTTCTTGCAGCGTTGTTTGCCAGTAAAAGTCTTCTCGCTACTTTAACAGCGTCCGCTTTAGCGACATTTGTATACATCGAGTTGACATCAAAGCTGACTGGAACTTCCTATAGCTCTAACTGAAACCCAGCTACTTTTTTAGCAAATTCATACGAATCTTGGATGTGTGTGGGTGACTTGCCGACAAGTGGTTTAAGGACACCTGCTAGGTATCTGGCCAGTTCATGTAGTGGCTAACCAATACCATCCACTATTGGTCCTAAGGGGGCACCTTCATTGTGAATTTTCGATAACCCGTAAAGTCGTGGTTTGATTGCACATTTTGGATACAATCGATGCCAATTGCCTTGCCCCAGATGGTTTATCACAGATCTTAGATACCCCCCGACCTCAACTGCTTTCAAACCCAATCCATCTACTTACTTACTCACTTGGCCTAACGAAGCTTTTGTGTCAAAAGCGAAACGCTGCCCAGAAATAAATGCACTGATTTTTACCAAACCTCCCTGAAACGATGACTTCCCAATCGGTCCCAATCTGATCTTCAAACTGTGTCATACTTGTCAGTGAAATACACTCATTCGCAAACAAAGTTGGTTCTGAGAGAGGCTCACCTGGAACCCAGCTGAATTCCTCGTTTGTGATGTTTTCACTCAACTGAATGTGCTGCACCAGGCCGTCTCATGTTTCGGTTGCTACGATATTCAAGGCATCGTGATACATATCTACTCGTATTGCATCACTCATAAGGTTGCTTGTAACATATATCGGACAGTCGTATCCTTTGTTGACCTTGGCACATTATGTAAAAACTGGTGGCCATTGCTGAGAAATCTCCCCGATCTTCCATACAGGATTTCCATCCAAGTGTGCGCAAGAAGTTATATTTGTATTTCCCCCACGGTACATATATGTCTCTGATAGCTTACATGTTGGTAGATACTGCACTCATGTCATCGTAAGATAGATAGCGGCAGAGGGTATAAGGCATTTGGAATTTACTAACCCGCCACTGGTGGGTGTAAACTGTCGTATCACATTTCACCGCCTCACTTCACCATGCTCACTGGCAGCGGTGTCACAAGTTGCACAGTCTTGAGCATCGCAAGGTGTGACGCCTTCCAAGACTCCGTATTTGGGTTTCACTATTCCCTAATACCGATCGCAACCATTTTTCGTGTCCATCTCTTGCTTTGTCAATGCATCGTTTTGTTCTCGGAAGCTCATCTTTGGACATTCAAGTGGTTTTCACCGTGCCGCATCAACAAACGATTGTTTTTTCATTTATACGGCTTGTCATCCGAGAGCAGAACATATTCTTTTGCGGGTATGGGCTGATTACCTGAATGCAGAATGTCAATGTTTGTTACTGTCAAATTAGCAGTTGTTCCAAATCTCGAGAAATAAATGAATATGTATTGATTTTAAAGCTTTTAAAACTCAGGCGGACAATGTTTACATTGCGCCTAGGTAAGCATTCTGAATATACTTCTACCTAATCCCAAATCTTTAAAAACAAACCAATAAGCGGTACAAAAAGTCATATGGAATTACAAATGCCGCATTTCTATTGTGTTGTTGACTGGAAACAATCTTTTATGTGAACAGGCGACAAAACGAATAGGTTCGAAAGATGACTTGTGTTCATTCAGTGGTGCACAAGTAGATGACAAATGTCACCATGTGTCATGAATCGGACAACCTAGTCTCACTCATCCACAAATGAATGAAGTGGAATGAATGACAGAAAAGCGATAGGATAACACATTCGTCATTTTGCACATCACTGTCCGTTTGAACAGCAGTTTTCGGTCATCATGAATTTATGTTAATTGTACTTTATCCGGCACAGTACCGAATTACAACTGTTTCGAATTTCGACCACATGCCAATGCGGAATCCCAGAGTGTCCTTAAATTTAAAGTGCCTCATACTAAAGAGTATGCCATGTGATTTTCCCTCACGTTTATTCTTCGTGTGACTGTCACCTTTTGAAAACTTGCGCGAGGAAACATGAAAGCTTTCGAACATCAGAACCCAACTGATAAACATCTATCTGAACCGATCCGATTTACTAGAGCGACGTACGACAAGAAATGACCATGTCAATCCCCGTTGTGGCTGGCACAGTTTCGAGCAGCGCAGGACACAGGCCAGTGGCCTATCCTACTGGGAGTCTGCTCATTCGGGACGATGAAAACTTCACCAACGAATATAACCACAAACGAACCGTTCCCAGCGAAACCAGCATATTGGAAGGCGAACTTAACCAGGTAGATCATCAGCACCACACGCCAGTAGGTATCACGTTTGATTCTTTTTCGGTTTTGCTACTTTTTCCACAAATTTTGCTACCTTAGTTTGATGGATTGAGTCTTACAGACACCGGTGGTAAATTAATGTACTCACTAGTTCATCACATATGCCCCCTCATCTTTGTCTTGTTAGACAGATAATGCGGTAACTGTGTACACAGTATATTTCACATGCTCGCGTTGTACACCAACTCTTCGACAGCCCCAGTAACCCGCCAAATTGAAAAAAGCCTGCGTTCGTTGTGTTCATTGGTAAATATTTACGCTACAGCATAATAGGACCTCAAGTCAGAATGCCTGTGTTTAAATCTCAAAGTGGAAGAAAAAAGTATACAAAATCAAAAAGTAGAAAATCTTACAAAGAAACGTAAGTCACTGGTGAAATTGGCTCACTGGGTTTCTTTTTTAGTCATCTCACACCAAATAATGGTATTGTCTCAAAGTGGAAGAAAAAAGTATACAAAATCAAAAAGTAGAAAATCTTACAAAGAAACGTAAGTCACTGGTGAAATTGAATTGGCTCATTTCTTTTTTAGTCATCTCACACCAAATAATGGTATTGTCAGTGAACAAAATTTCGCACAACAGACTGGGCAAAAAGTTCAACCCGAATGCTGCATAGAAAGCACATTATCTTTAAAGTATGCAAATATTGAATTGGGCACACTGAGTAATCAAAGGCTTAAAGCTCTCTATCGTGTACGATAAAATTAATGGATTTGTCCCAACGGATCATTTGTAATAGAGAGGCTTGATTTCAGATCTGAATCGAAATCAACCAGCTCCATTTGGAATGCAACACCTCAAATATTCTCTAGTAGGCTAGCCATTAGAGTGTAACTACAAGAAAAGACAAAAATATGCAAACTGGGCTGCAAGAAAAATAGTAGAGAACAACTTGCTTTTTGATTCAGGAATAAAGCTGAATGAGGTCGTTTTTCCACTGGACAGATACATCTTGAGGCATTTCGGAAATCGGGCTTGAACTTGGGTAGAAAACTTTACATTTCTGCAAGCCTTTAGTGGGTTAAACGAACTTTGTGGTCATTCCGTCTTCTTGAAGCTAACGCTGTTTCCGAAAGTGATCTAAAACGCCAATAAATTCCTCATCCAAGGAAATTCTTCCAAAAATAGGCGCAAACAGTATACACTCATCAAGTTCTGGCAATAATGGTTCATGTAAATCTGTGTGACTTATTAATTTTTGATGTGCTATTCTACAGTTCACAAAACACCTCTACGCAGACTGACTACAAACTACGAACATAATATGTTTGAAGCGTTACCGATCTCTAGTGACAGTCGGCTCAGCTTAACGTCAAACCATAAATGCTCTGCAGTTATGATGGCGCATTCCAAAAATCTAATTGACAATTCGCCTTTATCAACCGAGACCCTATTGGGATAGAGCTAATAGTGAATCCATAGATAGCATCTTAAAAAGTGCAATTCGTAATAACTACTCGAAAGTTGCTTGATTCGGTACGTCTCCATACCTGTCCGTGAAAATTCTTCAGTTTTCAGATGTCACAATTACCCATATTCACCTACTTTCCTGTAAAATACGGTTTATTCATCACCGTTATGGCTACAAGAGCATGTGAGAACCATAAGATTTGGGTGAATCTAAGTCTTTAGTGTGGCAAATTCACACAGGACCTCACAGATATCTTGAATGCACTGATTCAACCAGACACCGTCTTTCAATAGTTCTGCGTACCATACGCACAACAGGTTTACCTCTCGAGGCCTTCGTACACAGTGTTCTGATCAACAACAGCTGCTGTCAACCGTTGAATGAAAAGTGAAGACCCGGTTTCTGACAGCACTGGAATTAACCTAGGCTTGACCAAGAGTGGAGCTAAAGTCATGTAGTGGCATATGGTCGCAGGTATTTAGGAGTAAGGTGATGCCAGCTAAACATCAATTCAATGGATCACAACCCGTGTTTTAAGTGGGACCAAAAAGTCTAACGGATAAACAATCCTCAATCATAGTATCAACAACTGTAAAAAAAACTTTCGGTAAGAGAATTCAAATGTCACGAGTGTTGACAAATGTAAAAGCTCCTGTGAACGTCCTGAGATGGTTCAAGTGAAAAAGAGACTTCCTCTGAGAACGGAACCTCTATGCAGAGGTTGATGACAGCAGTAGCAGTGGCGTGTTTTTGTGTAAAATTACCATAAGCCATATTAACCATTTATCTGTAACGTCCACTATCTTGTCCCACCAAATGCCTTTTTCTGTTCACTAACACGCATGGATGAGCAAAGCCCCCTACTCACGAAAAACGTTTGCGTCCAATAAAATCCAGAAGTCAGGGTGCAAACACTTGGAGAAAGGCGAATCATTTTTGCACTATGTTTGCGATACTGTTGGTGTGGAATATCTTAGGTTACGCCGTAAGCCTTCACTTTTTTCTTAGCCGCGAATACGGGTTCATACGTGTTGGATGAAGTAGAATCAAGTGTATCTCCTAAACTGATCACAGTGAATAATTTTCAGCTTACCATTAGATTTTTGACTACTTTACATTGGGGTTACTGTAAAAAATTCTCATAAACTGCACAAAGCCACAACTTTCTTTTCTTAATGTGAATAAGCGATCAGTGGGATGAGCTTGACTGAAGAACTAAGGACAAAATCGCATTGCCGTTCTCACTTGTTATTTCTCGCTGTATTCAGTGCCAAATTAGGTTGGCTAAACGCCTATCCGACTAATAGCCGTATTTACATTTTGAGCTACGACACTATAATTTGATCAGGTATCGGTAGTTCACTTACCTGAGTTCTTTTTAAACCTGTTGAGAATTGGTGTCCATAGCGTATTTCTTTAATTTATGGCCTAATATGTTCATTGCAAGATACTGAAATAATCAGATGCCGCACAGCTTTACTAAAGAAATTGCGGTGCTTTTAAGCTTCACTTTTCGAAGATTTCTTCGGCTACTGAAGCGGTCCCAGAAAAAAACAACGTCACTTCGTAAGTTGTTGCGTAATCGTTAGAAATACATTTCGGCAAATACACTCAGTTGCATGTTAAATTTGTTTTACACAAGAGACTCAACTGAACCTTTAATTTATGGTTTTCTTCAGCTGAGTGTGCTGCACAAAGGCTGCCTCATAATTCGTTTGCTATGCTATTCCAGATATTCTAGTATACTTTCACAAAGTAATACATGTTTGTGTGTCTACAGGCACCAATACAACAGCAAATTCAAGCTGTTCCTCCTTCATGACCTGATTGTTCGTTTTATCATATTTTCCTATTTAAAAGGTTCTTCTTGGAGATTTTACGAGTGGGAATGTTAATGTATTTGGCAACAGTCATGCGATGACTATGTTTGACTTGGATGAAGCATATAGCAAGTTGAGTTTACAGCCCAGGGTTCCTCATGTCAGTTTTAAGAACAGAGACCTAACTCGCGCTCCGTGATCCTTTGGCAGAGAGCAGAAAAACCTAAGTTTTTTCAGGTTTCATACAGTGTGATGAGCGTAGGAACCTACTGAGTCTAAGTTGTAACTGAACCTAAAGGCAATACTTTTGGCACGTAAAAGTGTTAGCTATTTATTACTCACTAGTCACTCCACTCAGTTACACTCCGGCTTTCACTTTCTTAGTCAGATGTGCCTGGCTCTACCTCAACTACCTTGAACCCTGGCTCACCGTTTTCGTCACACACGGTCTCCCCAACGTCGGAGTTTTTCTCCACACCGGATGAGTCATTCAATCAGGCGATACGAGGCAGCCAGCGCAGTACAAGTTCACGCAACGAGTTCTCGACGGGAACGAGAACAATCACAATTGTAAGACCTCATCAAGGAGAAGATTCTACAACCTACACTCAGACCACACAACAAACTTCGATACCGAGGAGTGTTGATTCACAACAGGTGGTAAGAAGAATTTATATTGGCGGATGAACAAATTTCTTCAACCTTATTTATGTTTGAAAAAACAGCAGGATACAGTTCATTTTTGTGAATATTCACAACATAGGTTTGTATTAGTTAGTAGTATTTAGTAGTGGTATTTAGTAACTTTTGGCACTGATACATCAACCGTTATAAATGCACTGCACATTACCACCTCCGAAGGTACAAACTTGATATACAGGCAACCAGTTCATTCGACAGTGGCATCTCTGCTTATTTCAGCCACCGGGTACACTTTTGCTTGGTGTGGAATTTCGCGTTACTAAACTGCACATTAGACCTTTCAGGGTGATTCTGCCGAAGGCAGACCGTCCAGTAGCATGGGAACTGGATCTTATCGTCCCGGTAAGTTACCTGGAGGGCATTTTTTTCATTAGGGTTACCTAACTAGGTCAAGTGCGCTACGATGGAACTTTCGTTATGATTTGTCGTTCAACTGCTCAGATAGCAGCGGCTGTATTTGTGCTCTCAGACAGATAAACCTAGGCCAGAAATCTCAGAGAGAATCTACTCTACCAAATTTAAAATCGACTAATGTCCTGAATCGAACTCACTTGCTAGCTGAGATTCCCCATTACCACCAGTAAATTAAAATAGGTACAAAAAATGTACCATTCAAATGCCGGCCCGACAATTACCGCTTCTGGCAATTTCCTTGTAAGATTCAAATATCTTTGCCTGCCCACTCTAGCGTGGGCAGCGCTTGCCTTGGTAGTAGATGACGAGTTGTGCTATTCGGTGATGAACCGCTTGATGTTTTGCACGATCCCAAATGCATCGTTCTGCTTAAATATCCGGCCCGACATGACGTGCTAAGCAATTACCGCTTCTGGCAGTTTCCTTGTAAGATTCAAATATCTTTGCCTACCGAATGCATGCCGGATTCCTAATCCTGAAAAGATTTGCCTAGTTACTGGCCACCGGTTGTACGATTTGTCTGGGAATGCAAGCCACCCAACTCCATATATCTGGTTTCCGATATGAATGACCATTCGTAAGTGTGCAGTGACACCAGTTGACGTTCTACTCAAACTAGAATTGTAACTAGCCAGTAGCCCCGAGTTGGTGCATAAAGATTCCGTACATCATCACGAGGTAGCTGCGTTTCATAACGTTTGAAACTGTCTAACCATTGTTAGGTTCCGGCTGAGGCTTAAGATATAAATCAGGTGCAATCACCTTCAATGAGTTTTTCTTTTTCAGTGGGCTTACTGGATGTTTATAGATCCCTTAGTCAAGTGCCTGTACTTTGCGTTGCAAAATCCTTTTAGTTGAACACTTTCAGCTCTAAAACTCAAACATCATTATGCAAAATATTTAAGGTTTGGGGGGACATTTTACCATTGAGCAGAGGCCTCTCAATTCTCACCTCTGTATAAACGTTCTCGCCACATACTCGGGATTAGATGCTTAAACCCCTTTCCATACAGTTGAATTCTGAACCGTAACATTGCTTTTTTGTTCTGTTGCCTGGTGTGGGTCTGTATGCTCTTACTTGAAATGTGAGAGTACTCTTAAATCCAAAGCACTTCAGCAACACTCCAAATGTTATGAGATCGTTAGATTTGATGGATACGGTGATTTATTTAGACCACCTGCTGTTTGTCTGACAAAACCACTAGACTGATCGTTGTCTGTCATGTTTCTAAACACAGACACCGTCAGAGTTGTATGATCAGGTGGCCTTCTACGAAAGAGTCGTTGCTGAGCAAACGTATGAATTGTTCAACATCAAGTATGAAGTCTACGCAAGTGAAGCCTTCGACACTTCCAAGCTCAACTCTGTAAGCAACATCATTAAAGTAATACTACTATATATTCCATGGCCCGTTTATTTCAATTTATTTTGTGATTTTGTGTACGATGCACCTTCTGGACAATTCCAATATAGTGGATTTTGGTGATCAATTAAACTGTTCCTCAGTTTAACTTAACTGACCGATCGTGTTTTTTCGCCTGATTGGAATTATGTCCTCAGAATATTCACCACTAAATTATGGGTTGATGGACTAGTTGGTGAACTGAAAAACTGTGCCACCAACCTGAAGGTTTCCCCAAAACTGTCCAAGATCTCCCAGTGGTATCTACGTTCCTCATTTGAGGTAGGATCACACATACCATATTCGCAGTCACATTCGACATGTCTTCCCAACGTGATAAGTGAACTCAGTTCTAGCTCCCCTTGGCTACAGCAAGCTTCTGGATTCACTTATCCTATACGAAAAAGTTCGGTCCTGAAAGAACTCTCCCACAAGCTAGTTAATTCAAGATAAAATGGCTTATTGTTCATCAAGATTACAATGGTACTTTGTCCTCCTTTTTAGACTTTCCAAGCACTCTTCAGGCTTCTCCTGGGACCAAAGAAGGGGAGCAACAACACAAAAATCTTGGTTACAAAATTAAACTGGCTACTGTCGGAGATGCACTTGGATAAACTTATCTCTACACCTTACTTACCTAGTTAGATACGAATCTTGCGAAGAGATTGATAGTTTCCGGTACCTAAAAAATTTCAAATCACGGTTTTGCAGTTTTTACCTCTAATATGCTGTTTTCGAAGTTTAGTGAGATAATCTAATGCAAAGGGTACCCTGAATGAGGTCATACAAACGGCTTATCCAATTGTTGACGGTTAAAATGGTCATTCATAGTTGGTTATCCTTGGAGAATTTATTGTCTAAAAATAAGTATTTTGCCCCAAAACAATTAGTCTCCCTCTAAAGCGATCACTTTTGGAAAAAGGTTAATTCTTATACAATAACCAGCCCTCTCAGTAGAGACCCGATTTCGGCGCAGAACATTTGTCCACCTTTCGTCGGAGAGTGTCCGTAGCAAACGAAATCACAGAAAGTACGTGTTCCCTCAATTGGGCTGTATATATTTGAAACGTCTATGTCATAAAGAGCATTGTTTCACCACAGTTTGTTTTTGAACCAAACGGAGTCAAAATCAGTAGGAGAGCGATAAGCAGCAACAGTTCAGCCACAGTTCAGAGTAGTTTAGCTAACATGCGAGGAAACTGGTGTAACCGTGATACTACTGATGGGAGGGCATGTGAGTAGTAGGTTTTCTCGTAAATCCGCTTTCCGTCTCTTGAAAAGTCAGATCTATTACGGACTTTGTGGAGTCGCTTGGTAGCATTTACTTGGATCTGAGCAACATTCAGTGAGTATCCAGGAAAGTTCACGAGGATGCGTTCAGGGAGAATGTGGATATTCAGTTTTTGTAAACAAATGCGTATGAGTGTTTTGCTTCCCTGTCCAATGGTCTGTACGTGTTCACTTGGCATTTTCCAATAACTAACTCCACAGCGAAGGTCTTCTTCCTGCGAGCTTTTCTTGCTGATTCATTTAAGGTCTCCTTCCTGCGAGCTTTTCTTGCTGATTCATTGATACCGAAGTTTCAGTTAAAAGTAGACTAACTTTCGTCTTCCTCATATTGGCCAGTTTGAGAGTGACCAATCAGTGGGAAATGCAGTCATCCAGCGCTTCCGACTTGTAACTGTGTTTTGCTCCGCCATAATTGTCTATGGTGTTCTCGTTGTCAATTTGTATTCAGATTACCTAAATGTGTGTCTGGAGGTGTGGCTACCTCAGAATGATTGTAGTAAGTTAGCGCTAGGTCCCTTTCATGTCCACCTTCACTCTCTTCTTCACAATGAAGATTTCAAAGAAATCACGGTCACAAGGCAGCGAAGCATCAATGTTGAACACTAATGTCATGCTGATCACTTGCCAATCAGTTACACCAAGCGTATGGATTGCAGCGTCCACCAGTAAAGCATCAACAGCTTTTCGAGAAATACACTCATTTGCAAATCAATTTGGTTTTCACGAGGGACTTAAGTGAATCTCTCGTTTGTGATATTCTACAACTGATTGTGCTGCACACAGGCCGCCTTATGACTCGGCACGATATTCGAGATGTTGCAGTATATTTTCACAAAGGAAACTACTCACAATGTTGCTAAAAACTCTCCGACAGCCCACGACCAGTTTCGCCCTTCTTGGGGCTCATCAGGTAGGCGCAGGCCTCGATTTTGCTGCAACCTTATGTTCTACTTGAATTCAAATTGGACTGTTTTCGAGAAATACACTCATCTGTAGATCCATTTGGTTTTCACGAGAGACTCAACTGAATCTCTCGTTTATGATGTTCTACAACTGAGCCTACCTGACGAGCCCCAAGAAGGGCGAAGCAGGTCGTGAAAAGTTTCCTTCATCAACAGCTTTTGTTTATCTGTTACAAATGACCTCAGCCAGTTTTTTCCACTAGGTTGGACGCTGACTATGATACTCATCTGGACTGGTTAGAAACATATATTTGGCACATGAATTTATCGCCTCAGTAAAAATCACATTCTGAAAGAACACACAAAATAAAAATTGTTTGTCTTGTGATTCACTGCCGGGATTTCAATACTTATAAGTGCCGTGACAACATTCAGGAGCCTACAGTTGGTACACACCCGGGAGATCAAGCACCAAGCAAAACCACTCCAGTGAATCACTGCAGATAGCCTATACGTTGTCGGAAAACCGTCTGCTTTTCTGTCTCTCTGTTGCATTGTTTTGCAGTGTATTTTCTCAAAATAAAAATGTTTTTTCTTAAAGGATCATTTCTTATAAGGCTGCTGAAAGCTTTTAAACAGCTCTTGTGTTCTATAAAAGGTTGACGAAAATGTAAGGGCGGCACCTTCCCGATAAGTCTCAAGAAAGATGAACCCGGTCATCGAGTGTCGAGCAGTTTCAGCATCTTTATGAATAGTGTTCGTTCAATTTATTTGCACTGTGTAGTTCGATCAAAATCTAATTTATATTTCCCCTGGCAAAAATACAAGCCAATTTGACTTCTGTGTTCCGTAGCAAATAATACGGTTCTTATTGTACTAGTGTATGTGTTCTTCCGTGTTCACCTTTGTAATAATCGAAACGGTGAACTACTCACACAATGAGGCACGCGTTTATTCCTCATATTCTTTTTTCTTCGGGCCTAATTTTTATCCGCCTAAGAGGCTGCTACGGGTCCACGAGGAAATCAAGAGATTTAACGGAACCTCCCAGTACACAGCCAATCTCCGACACGTTCTGATGGATGCTGAAAGTGATCGTCGAAAGTACAACAGATATGTGAGTCTATCGTCAAATGGAACAGAAAAATATTGGATGTTCCCCATTTTCTTTTGATTCTATTTTTTTGCAAGTCTAAGGTAGATAGTGAAGCTAAATTTTCAAATCAGTGGTTATGTACAGAGCGACGTTTGAAAGTAGGATTATTGATCAGACAGTCTCAGGAAGAAGGCATTACTGTCTCACTACTGCATGTAATTCTGCAACCGTACGCGTCACAGTTCAACCATCGGTACAGCAAACTAACCAATCAGAGAGGCGGTTCTCTTGCATATCAGACACGACCAATGAGACTTCAGATAGCGAAATAGGCTGACTGGCCACCTGGACACCGTACAATATATATTAACCGAATCTCTTTGTTGCTCAAAAACCCAATTTCATATTTGACCAGTTAGTTCCTAAGGTACAGGAAAGAGATAAAACAGCCTAGTAAGCTTTCTTATCCAAAAAAAAGCAGACTTAAAAGCTAATTCGATATTTCCGAATACAGTTGAAACTTTTAAAATTCGTGGTTGACTCGATTGTCTTAAACAGTGCAACGAAACAAGACACAATCGACTGATAAACGGGACGTCCGAAAGAATGGCGAAACGACTGTGTTATTCTCTCCGCAGTGTAGATGTTATGTTAATTGTACTGCACTGGATCGGGTCTTAACATATATTAGAAACTGTGGTACTGGTTCGACTGCTCTTATTTGCTTGTTGATATTCAAATGTAAATCGCCAATCGTAAGCCTTGGGGACGTTCCACTGCTATTGACATTAATTTCCTGCCAGTCATGGCACACAGCAGTCCAGTTGATCTTTCGAGTCTGATAACTTCCTTCGATAATGCGAACTTTTTCGGTAGATTCAGTTTTTACAGATTTAGACCAGATATCCTGAGGTTTTGGGAAATTTGGATCACGTAAGTTAATGTAAAGGCTCTGATCAAGACTAGTCCTGACTCCCAGTGCGGTTTTAAAAAATGCATGGACAGATCCTGGGACGAATACCAGCAAGAGAGATTCCATTCTCAAAAGAGCTCATCAGGCGGAAGCAGAGTGATATCTAGGTGGAATTTTGGTTAGGGTTTAAAGGCTACCCTCCACAGCATGCACAGATGATGGGTTTTATGAAGGTCCACAACTTTGGTCCATGATTTTGGGCTAATCAAAATTCACTAATACTCTGACTCAGACTAGTCAGCTAGAATCACTTAGAAATCGATTTAATCTGTTGGTACCGTCTAGCTTTGCTCCTGGACGTCTATAGTAGTTGAACAATGGGAGCACTCTTAGTGGTGCCACAAATACGTCGACTGTAGCCTCCCTATGGACAAACTCGCACGCCAGCAATGTTTGCTCGCTACTCGTCATGTGTTAGTAGCGCAAAATTTTGCAAACGGTTGTGATGCACATCATGCCTCCGATGTTTTCTTGTGCCTTACGGGGTTCTATTTCCACTAGCCAGAGTTTCATAGTGTTTCACTGCCTTATCACTTTTCAACTGTGCTTGCTTACTGCTTTCTTCATAATGCAGAAATAATTGTCGTGTTTTGTTATCATCATAGAGTGGCTTCATCTGCGCATTTAGGGTGTCTTTTAAGGACAACTGGGTTTTGGTAATGAATCCCAAAAATCTCGGCTAAGTGGCTTGTCGGTCTCCGACAGACAGTCAAACCGATAAAATTTCGTCGTCGAGCATTTCTATGCTCTAATAATCAGGATGAGCAGTTCCACGTCTGCGAGCACATTAGTCCATGGGTGGTGGTGGATAAATCAACCCATGGCTACATCAGGCCAGTTCACCCATACATCCCAATGTTTGCAGCCGGAACACTCGTGGCCCAACCGTTTAGCGGTCTCCGAAGACAGTCTTCGAGCATTTCTATGCTCTAATAATCAGGATGAGCAGTTCCACGTCTGCGAGCACATTAGTCCATGGGTGGTGGTGGATAAATCAACCCATGGCTACATCAGGCCAGTTCACCCATACATCCCAATGTTTGCAGCCGGAACACTCGTGGCCCAACCGTTTAGCCTACCTAGTCCTCGAAAAATTTGCACACCACTCCTTGATAGTACGTTCGTGAATACCTTATCCTCCATATTATCGTACATTCACATAGTTTTGGCTTTCTTTAACCATTATAGAGGGTTGATGAAGTGACAGATGCCATAGCCAATGTGAAAAATAGGTTGAAATCTGCCGTGAACGTTGTGAACAAACATATCGCAGAGTGCAGATCTTGGCTTCTTGAAAAAGCTTCTACAATTTCCAATGGATATGAACAGGTAAGCCTTGATCAGCTCACAAACTATACTTTGTTTTGTGTCCACTCTCCAATGTTGAAATTTTGAAACTGATTTGAATGCAGTTGCTGGGTTATTTCTGCCCGCTTCACATTGAATTATCCTGCGGTCAGTTCGCTTGACAGGTCACTTAGTTCCATTTATTGCAATCAAGGTATTGTCAAGTATAGATGTGCACGTCGAATAAAATATATCTGAGTCCACTGTTGCTTGATGGGTTCCTCGTGTATTACGTATGCAATACCCAGGATCCATGTGCTATTTTTTTTACCAAAACACACCTTGTTCCAAATCACAAATTTGGCTATTACAAACCATCCTGTTATAATGCAGTCCCGGTTGAACCTCAAATGTTTGGTCCATTTCACAAGAAATCATGGGTATTTTTATATCCGCCCAGTGGCAACCCCATGCGTTGGGCTTCCAGATGAATACTGATAACCATCGCATGCGCAGAGTGCAATCGAATAGCCCTCCTCAGTGAACAAACCGACAATCATCTATGCCACCTGTGCTACTAACATTCTCTTCAGTAGTAAACTGGGAAATTTTCGAAACGAGGCAATGTACCCCTCAGCTGTTATCATCTGGAAACCAGTAATTTTGCCTAAGTATCCACATTCGTATGATTGTTTGATGTTTCAGTTTTGTGCGGTTCTTGAGACAAGGAGTCAGCGTTTCATGATCCGTAGGACTAATTGAAAAGGTGTTATGTGCAGCCGATAGATTACGGTTTTTTACAATCTATCATCAAGCTCAGTGTCAAGCCTCGTGCAGAGAGTGCAAAACAAACTTCAATTCAAGGCAGGGGCTGTTCGAATTACCTAGTTTGATGTCGGATGGTCTTTTTAAAAATGAATAGGATGTTTTAGTGGACCGATGTAGGAACAATACTTCCTACTAAGTTAGAGAATCAAGAAGCCGCCAGCGTCTACTCGGACATCCAACCCGAAGTAAATAAGAATCTTCCAGAACACTGATACCACTAGCAAGATCAACCTGAAGCGAATTACTGTGGAGCGTAATTACTTTACCATTCACGAGCAATCCGCTGTCTAGATTTCCGGGTGAACTGGAAACGCACCCAACGGTCGGTGACGGTTTCCAGTTGTGATGAGTAGAATCTATACTGTTACAGCTATATTTCAGCCCATTATATACTACATTTCTCTCCATAATAAAAAGAACAGGCACCTTCCCATTTACTGAGGTGTCTCATGGACAAACTATGATAACAGTAATAAGTCATGCAATCGTGTTTGGTAATGATACTCCTAAGACAGACCAAATTGAACATCACTGTTTTCATCGGTCTTGAGAAGCTCCAGCTGCGAATTCGTACAATGCAATTCCAAACTTGGACAGTACGACCAATTTTGATAGCCCGTCAAGTTGAAAAAATCACATCACCATTGACTGTCTATCAGATAACTTGCAGGCAACGACCAAGGATAAAAGTCCAAAGAAGTATGTTCCAGGCGCCTTGCAAACAAATGGTCCGGGATGAGAAGAACTAAAATGTTTTGGGAAAACAGGAGACTTCAAGTTACATTTAAAGTTAAGCAAGGCTTATGGCAAGAGCGAGAAAGTTAACCAGCTGACTTATTAGTGATCGCTCGTTTATTAATGATAACACGCGATCTCTCCTTAGGAAAGGTATAGCCAGAATTTCAAGGGTCTATAATTCATCATATAACATATTTTGGAGATGAATGGCGTTTTACTTTTTCGGACCGCTTACCAGAACAGTAGACAATACCTGCTTTTGAAGCAATCTCCTTAGAATTACCAAAAATGTTCAACGTCTTCTTCTTAGGTATACAGAGCCTCGAGGGAAGATTTGGGCAAATATCAGGAGAAGATTAACACAGAATATGAAATTTTGATGGATAACTTCAACGCCTTCCTATCCATGGTACGGGAAAGTGAACAGCGGTCAGAGGCATATCCATCGGTAAGTCGCATAGGCCATCCAGAACAAGAATAGTATCGAAGTCCCGATCATTTTTTATTACCTGGTATAATGTTAATTTGAGCTCGTTCTTCACATGACTGAATTTGAAAACCGGTCGGATAAGAGCTGCTACTTTCGGTGTCCCGATTTGGGTCTCTCTCAGTACTGGGACCTCCGGAGTAACTACCATTCAGCCAATGGCAAACGATGAGCAATGGGTTTAGCCTGCAAACGTCCATGCAAGGTATTCCCCATATTTGATCGCGCTGATTCAGTTCATACCATCCGGTACTGACTGGCCCTTCGCAAGTCAAAATTTCTGAGATACACCCGTGTGATCCGAACTTGCAAAGATACCCTAATAAGATTTGTATCGCCTGGCAAGCGATCCCGAGATACGAGAATACGGGAATGAAGCTAAATTGTATATTTTCTCGATTTTCCCCGAACGCAGAAGATGTGACAGGTGACCGACACATCAGCTATGCCGTATCGATGAAGCTGCGTTTAAAACCGTAAGTGTTCTTTATATGATGAAATAACTCGGCCGAATGTCGGTCGGATGTCTCAAGAAACTTTGAGGCATCAATTGATAGGTAATGGGAATCTGATACAACGATGGGGGACAAAGTGCTTCATATGCAGATGCTCCACCTAATGAGAATCGCAGAAAAATTCTGAAAAGTAGAAACTCAGGTGTATTGCAATGAGAGATTCAATAAGCATATCTAGGGGTTGGCACGTTTAGCCAATATCAGACCGTTTCTCGGAGTGGAATCTGTTTTTGGGCGGTTCCTACATTAGAGCTATAGTTCACATGCCTGGATTCCGGTCGCCTTCACGGCTAGTGGCAGTCTGAATCCTAACATTTGTTATAAGGTTCGGAACACCTACGAACTCTGACCTATGATCTGATCTGTTATATCTAACGTACACAAATAAATATGTTTATTATTCAACGAAAGTGAAATCCAGTCAGTTGTTTGGTCAATAGGAAAATGGACGTAGATGACCAAGATGAACCAAATTTTTAGAACGTATTCTCGCATATCTACTACTGAAAACGATCCATATATTCTGTGTGTTCGAGAAGCACACCTCTTTAAGAATAAGCATATCCGCAGTAACCTCAAAGGATATTAGGCTGTTGAACAGATTACCAGATTCCTGAGATCTTTAGTTAACGACCTGTATAGGCGCCTGATTCTCAGCTCCATCCAGATTGTCGGGCTCAGGAAAAACTGACTCACATCTGTCTCTATCATTTCTGTTTTTTTGCCGCCATATCATGTTACTATTATGTCAAATGTTCTAAAAGAAAACCTCATAATTAGCGGTACTGTGGTTGTTTCTGTGAGGTGGTAAGAGATAGTGTGCCCAGCTGTTAGCAGCAAAAAAATCAGCCATTCTTTATCTGCGATTGACAGGATCGTCACAGGCGTTCAAATACACTTCCGCGGGTTGTCCTGCGAGAATCATCAAATATCAACCAACCAATGAAGGTACGTTTTCTCTCGGCAGTCCGCCAGTATTTCTAGGGCCCGATCTTATGTCAACCAGAATATAATGTCCAAGGTGTGTTTATAAAATGACAGTGCAATTGTGCCCAATGCGTCCTGCCATCCGTCGTGCCGCAGTCCGGAATATATAAGTAATGAATCCCCATTCCTCAGTTGCATTCGAACACTTCTCTCGAAAAAAGCTTGTGTCCGGTTCTAGTGTGATCTGTTTCTGTTAATGTGGTCCTTCAAAAATGCTTCCGTAGTTGAGTCTTCCCAGGAAGAAGCGTTTGAAATATTTTTCATCAGCCTCGCACAATTATGATACGGTGTATTCTGGCCCCGACTTTCACGTAGTGTATCGGTCAGCGTCCGAAGTTAATGGAAATATCAAGGATGTGTAAATAAACGAGAACACTTGGCTCGTCTTCCTAATAAGTATCTTTCGCAAAACTCGATTCGGGAGACGGGAACATACCTTAGGTTCCTGGGCATTCCTTTTTCGATCCAATTGATGCTGGGACAACTGGCAGCAGTAGAAAAACCAGATAGGGTACTATAAGTGTGCTTCACTCAGTTGACTCTACTACAAAGCCAATATTCTGTATGTAATGTAAAAATTCGCTTCACTAACAATGCAAAGTGCAAATTACTGCTGACAATCCCTCACACAGGAGCTTTTGTCGTTCTTCTCACATTGAGGGTTACGGCAAATTGGCTGGTAGTTCATTTGATGGACAGTTACCATCTCCTGTATAGGATATCCGAGTTGCGGAAAGGATAAGACAGAAAACGGTGAGTAGAAAGTAACGACTATTACTCGTTGGCAAAATGATCAAATTGAAGAATCATCGGAATACTAGAAGGAGGGAACTGGAGTCGTGGAAGCTGGGCAGTCGGTTGCAAGACCCATTTGTCATTACCGACTGCCTGGGGAACGCCTATACAATTCATAGTGGTTGTGGATCGAATCGGGTAAACGGTATTCAGCTTCGGAAGTGGCATGATACAACCGAGGAGCTGCCGAACAGACTAGCTGTTATGGCCAACTTAAGAAAGGTCATTGGAAACCGGCGGCATGCACACAACCTTTGAATCTTTAAGTAATAACTGTTGAAATCTCTTTATTGACACCCAGCACTGATACTCGTTTCTTCTTGATCGAGAGTAGACATAAAAAAGCGATCGCTTTATACACACATTCATATTTTGCACTCATGTTATCCACAGCGCACGATAATAGGCCGCATTTGTGCACTAGGCGAATGGAATAAAATACCGAATATTTCCCTTGCTTAGGGTACTCGTTGTTCAGTGGGACTTGGCCTGAGCGGTTGGATCGACGTTGAATTCCTACTTGTCGTTCTATCGTAATGATAATTCAGCGGCCAGGAAGTCACCTCCCTCAGACACGCGTCGCGACGCTCATGGATAGGAGTTAAGTATAGGACTTAACATCCTCAGGCCTCTCATCACTACTGAACAAATTTGTGGCAGCTCAGTGACTAAGGTGCAAACATACAGACCAGGAGGTCCGTGGCTTAAACCCAGCTCGGCATCTCTACTGTTTCTGTCTAGGATTGGGCAACCCGCCAGTATTTCAGCCCTTGTACTTCCTTTGGGTGACATGGCAGCTAGACACTGAAAGGATGTTACCGCTGAACAATTATTATTATTCTTTTTTAAATCCAGACACTTACTCAAAATATTCACCCGATTATGTGCAATCGGAAACGAACAAGTTTTACACTAAACGTTTATTGATCAAGAATGCACCCTGAAAAAAAGCAATTTATTCCTTCTCAACCCCTTGCAGATTCTCCGAGATCCAAGTACTTCGGACGATGTTCACTACAAATCAATTACCAACTCCGTTCGAACAGTAGATTACTAACGATCATTTCCTTTCTCTCTCTCTCAAAAAAAACAATTTTTTGTTTCTTCATTTAACACTTTCTTTACGGGATATTCAGTGACTCTTAGAGAACAGTATACAGAATGCATCATTCTACCGGACCACCCGACTATTTTTCTTTCCCATTCTAACTTATTCATCACATTCCCTTGTATATGTGCACCTCTAGCGGTTCTCCGTAACGCCTTCCATACTAAACAGCTCATTCATGCAACTTTAGGACTATTTGACAACTGTTTTTGAGAGAGCACAAAAATCAAAAGAAAGCATACCCGAAACCGACTGAAAACAAAAGGTCAGGTGCGCCGAACCATTGACAACGTATACCCTAATGCAATTTCTCGCCGCTTCTCATTTAAAGTGCAGTTGTATTAAGGCTAACAATGAGCTTGAGACAGTTCAGTGCATAAGGCCTGAACTTAAGAACCAATAGATCCGTATTTCGAAGCCAACCGCGGGGTACCTCAACTGCTGCTGCCAAGGCTTGGGCAATATGGCAGCATCTCGGCCCCTGTGTTTTCTTTGGGCGGCACGCCAGCTAGACACTGAAAGAGTGTTACAGTTGAACAGTTGTTATTATTAGACCAACAGTCAGTCTTACACTCCTTCTCTTCCTTGCGAAATATTGTCCTCATAATTGGGACCAATCACACCAAATTCAAATTTCCACTACGCACAAACTCTTGATGTCCATTCACACTGCAACACTTGGCACACTTCAAGGTGGCACTATATGTTAAATACCTTGAAATGAGTAGTACACAAAGACATATTATTTTCCGAAATACCAGTTTCAATTTCTAGATCATGAATGAAGCAGTGTGGCTTGTTGTTCCGTTGTTTTGTTTGTTTCGACCAACAGTGGCTCGTGAATTTGGGGCTGGTCAAGCTACACACTCACATGCAAAGGCCACAGAGGGGATGGAAGTTAGTGAAACCATGTGAACAAGTCGGAAACAGGTGTTAGCATGAAGCTTGTCTGAGTATTAGGACAGTGCATGGAAAACATGCTAACTCTTCGATATATCATCTACCACCCCGTAAATGGAATCGAATAAACCTATTCAAATGGTGAACAACTTGGAACAAGCTAAGGACTACTGATGAAAGTTCAAAATATATATGGAAAAACCGGATACCATATTATTGAACAATCACGTGTAGTTTCGATATTAATATCCATCCACATGAGCAGTGGTCTAAATAACACGTTTTTAACAGTAATTTGGGGTCTGTGGATGAGTCTCCTAAACCCTGTTCATTTTTCATACCCTTGACGAAACTTAATGAACTAGTTTCAGGCCACTATGCCATTGATCTGACCAATAGTAAAGCTGACCCAACCGATCCATCATTGGCCAAGGTCGACTTGCGCCATCATCATCATCATCGAGCTGACCCAATCCATCATTGGCCAAGGTCGAATTGCGCCATCATCATCATCATCGACAGCATGATATCAGTGTTCAACACCGATGCTTCCTTCACGTACAACCATGACTTATTTGAAAGCCTTATTGTGAAGAAAAGAGTAAAGGTGGACGGGAGAGGGA